GGACATGGTGGCGTTGTGGGTGGGGGGGAGTTCCCGGGAGAACCCCCCATCCCTGCCCCGTGGTGCCCTCCGCAGGCGGAGCTGCGCTCCCCCTCCAGCCTCTTCCTGCCCACCACCGGCGGCTTCGAAGAGCCCGAAACCACCCAAGTGGAGGAAACCTTCCAGAAGACAGAACCCCCAGGGCTGGGGGACAAGCTCGGGGCCACGCTCCCCTCGGGCAGCCCCAGCAGGAGGGGGAGTGGCAGCCAGGGGCCGGAGGCTCCCACTGACCAGCACCTCGGCGGCACGGGGCAGGAGGATGTCTACGACCAGCAGCTTCCCCACTCCTACAAGAAGATGGAGGTGGAGGTGGAGGAGCAGGTGGAGACCCCTCCCGAGTACCTCGCCGACCTCCTCACCACGGGGCTGCCCCCACCTCCTGAGCTGCACCCCGAGCTCCAGCCACTCTCTGCTTTCCCAACGACTTTTCTGGCCCCCATCACCCCCCACGGAGGGAATCTGACTTTGGATAAGGTGAAAATAAGCTGCAGCTCTTCCCCCAGGTGAGTTCCTCCAGGTGGTCAGCGGTGGGAGACCAGGTCTTGCTCTTGAGGCCATCTCAGGACAGCCAGTCCAGTAACTTGCACGTGACAACTTTAAGAGGTGACAAAAGAAACCCCACCAGCAGTGCAGGTGACACCTCGCCGGGCAGCTCCTCACCCACCCAGCACCCCCAGGGAAGAATCCAAGAGAGAAGAGGAGGATTGTCAAGGCTGTTGGACCCAGATTTGGGAGATGTTATGAAGAAAGAGCTGGGGTTCTTCAGCCTGGAGAGGAGAAGGCTCCAGGGAGAGCTTCTTGCAGCCTTCCAGGACTTCCAGAAAGCTGGGGAGGGACTTTGGAGCAGGAACTGTTGGGACAGGACAAGGGGGGATGGTTTGAAACTCAAAGTGGGAAATTTTAGGCTAGAGAGAAGGGAGAGATTTTGGATGGTGAGGGTGGTGAGCCCCTGGCCCAGGCTGCCAGGGCTGGGGAGAAGAATTTCAATCACCTCTTGGAGTCTTCTAACTACAGGTTGGAAGTGTGACACGTTGAATGGCTTTGGTTACTGTGTGTATGTAGAGAAATAAAGTGTTGGACACTTGGTATCTCTTGTTTCTTCCAGAGAGGCTCAAGAGCCACACACAGAAAGGGCCTTTGAAAGTAAACCCCCAAATCACTGATGCTGCAGATGAGGTGGGTCCAGAGCTGAGCTCACCTGGAGCATCTTCCTCCCACCCATAGTGAGGTGGTTGCCACCTGTAGCTGGCTACACAAGCTGTGGAGCAGTGGCATGAGGTGCTGGGGAGACCCTCCTGTGATGCCACCATCTCAGAGCATCTCCACGTGGAGCTGCTGCCTGACGTGGTGAGGGCAGACCTGCAAAGGTCTTGAACCTGTATCCCAGCAGGGTGGGGTTGGAAGGGACCTCTGGAGATCATCTCCTCCAACCCCCTGCTCCAGCACAAGTGACCACAAGCACCCAGCTCTTCTCAAGCTTCTACTTCTCCTCTGGATTGGAAACTAAGTGAAGCCACCAGCAACGACTGAGCTGGTGTTGGCCCCAGCCGTGTACCAACCAGGTCAGAAAGGGCCTCAAGGATCATCTGGTCCAACCTTTCTTGTCATAGAAAGAAGACAGCTGCTGCCCAGGGAACCCAGGAGGTGCCACCTGAGCAGGAGGAGAAACTTCTTTGGGGTGAGGGTGGCTGAGCCTGGAGCAGCTGCCCAGAGAGGCTGTGGAGTCTCCTGCTCTGGAGAGATCCCAAACCCCCCTGGGCACCATCCTGGGCACCCTGCTGTGGGTGAGCTGCTGGAGCAGGGGGTGGGAGGAGATGATCTCCAGAGGTCCCTCCCAACCCCACCATGCTGAGGTTCTATGAAAATGGAATTCTGTTGTCTTGAGTGTCTGACCCAAGGCAGGGTGAAAGGTTTTGCTGTTGTCTCCAGGGCAGCCTTCACCATTGAAGGTGCCCATGTACCAGGCTGGAGACCAAACCTAGGAACCACCTGCAGGATCCAAAAAGCCAAATTACATAGCTGGGACTTCTCTAAAGAGATTCTCCCAGGCTTTGTGTGGCAGTGGCCTGGTTTGGAGGTGTCAGCAGTGCTCTGCTGCCTTCCCAGCACTGCTCTGGGTGCATTTTACCCCCAAAAAAAGAAAAGGCAGCACCAGAGGAGGAGACAACTACTGCAGGAGAGGTTTGGGGTTGTTCCTGGCAGCGGTGGCCGCCCATGGGACAGAGCTGGGGCTTGTTGGGGGACAGTTGGTGTTGGTTGACTGTCCTGGGCCATGATCTGGCCTGTGGCTCCTGAGAAGTGTCCCTGAGCTGTTTGAACCTCCAGTGAGATGTTGCTGCAGAGGTCCCAGCAGCACCAGGAGGTGAGGGAGCTCTGCTGTACTTGCTCATTCTTCGCTGGGCAGGGTGAGGGTCGGTCAGAGGTGGGGCTGGTGGGGCTGTGGTGTCTCAGCTCCACAGCTGGAGTCCCCACCTGCCCAGCTGTGTTTGGGAGTTGCACTCAAACCCCAGGACTTGCACCATGTGGAGGACATGGAGAAGATTTCTGTCCTTTCTCCTGGCAGATGAGGTGGGTGATGATCGTGGCTGTGCTGAGAGCCTGCAGATGGAAACTCCTGCTGGCTTGGACACCACTGTTGAAGGCGTGGGTGGAAGGGGGAGTGGACATCACTTGGTGAGGACACAAGCCATGTGCCGTGTCTCAGGGGGGTTTGTCCACCTCTCCAGAGCAAGAGGACACAGTGTGTGTTGACTGCCACATCTGGGGGTGGTTTTGATTCAGAGAAGGTGGTGAGCACCCATTGGGCAGCAAGGGTGAGTCTGCCTGTCCTCCAGCAGCTGCTGGGTGAGGTGGTGAGAAGCAGCAGCTCCACCAGGGCCATGGGGCAGGAAGGATCCCAGGCACACCTGGGGTGGTGGGCAGCGTCCTGCAGGTGAGCCAAGGGTTGGGGGGACCATGCTGAGTTGGTGGGATGGTGTGGTGGGCCCTGCAAGGGCTGCAGCAAGAACATGGTGGAAGTGGTCTCTGCTGCCAAGGAGCCCTCACGTGCACACCAGCAGATTGTCCTGATGCTGAGCTGGTCCTGGGGTGGGGTTGCTGCTCCTCCTTTCCCAATGTTTCGTGGAATCCCAGAATCCAGCGTGGTGGGGTTGGAAGGGACCGCTGGAGATCCTCTGGTCCACCCCCTGCTCCAGCAGCTCACCCACAGCAGGGTGCCCAGGATGGTGCCCAGGGGGGTTTGGGATCTCTCCAGAGCAGGAGACTCCACAGCCTCTCTGGGCAGCTGCTCCAGGCTCGGCCACCCTCACCCCAAAGAAGTTTCTCCTCCTGCTCAGGTGGCACCTCCTGGGTTCCAGTTGGTGCCCGTTGCCCCTTGTCCTGTCCCTGGGCACCACTGACCAGAGTCTGGCCCCAGCCTCTTGCCCCCCGGGGCCCTTTAGCTCTTGCTCAGCACTGCTCAGATCCCCTCTGAGGCTTCTCTTCCCCAGCTCAGCAGCCCCAGGGCTCTCAGCCTGGCCTGGCACAGGGATGGCCTTTGTGCTCTCCACACCCCAGGAGGTTTCTGGCTGGGCACCACAGACCAGGCAGTGCCTCCAGGCATCTGCACACACCCCATTACACACCCACTCCCAAAGGAGGGGGTTTTTGAAAGGCCAAAAAAAAGCACCAGGTGTCACCCACCTCTCTGCACAGTGACCTGGCTTCTCCAGGCAGGAGAGGACACCCCAGCCTCTTTGCTCCTCACCTCCAGCTGAATCCCCACACGGGGCTTCCCCAAAAACCTCACTCCACCCTGAAGAGACACAAGCCAAAGACCCAACCTCTTCTCTGCTCCCTGAAGCATTTTGGGTCAGGACAGAGGACCAGGTTTTGGTCAGGTTACACCCCCCCAGGAGAACATCAAACCCAGGGGTGGATTGTAACCTGGAGAAGACAGAGCTGCAAGGTCAGCTTGAGGCAGATGTCCTGGTTTATTAAAACAAGAGCTGTGGCTACTCAAACCCATCCCCCACAGGCAGAGTCATTACAGGTAGGAGCCATCTCACCTCCCCAAGATGCCACCACCACAGATGCACACCCACCTCTGGCAGTTCAGGAGGACTCTTGTCCTTCACCAGCCCTGTTTCCTCCCAGCAGGAGTGGCCATCAACCTGCAAGATGAACTTTCATGCTCAAGCCGTGCCACCGTCACGTTCAGAAGCCAATTTTGGAACACGTGCTCCTCTCTCCCATTTCTCCACATTTTTCTGCTGACCATCTTCTTTCTAATGCTTTGGGTTTGAAAAGCTCTAATCCTCTGGATTTGGTGGGACAGCAGAAGGAGCAAGAGGACAGAAGTGGTTACTAAGGAGTAAATAAGCTACTGGGGAGATGTTTTCCCAAGGCAAAGTCCCTTCCTGGCAGTTGGAACGCCCAGGGCACCATCCCCACAGGGACCTCTTGGGTCCTCTCTAGGTCCAGAGCCTAGAGGAGACCTTCTCAACCTACGTGGTTTCATGACATTTTTTTTTTAAAAGAGCATGAAAATAAACCTTTATTTCAGTTCACACCCACCAATATTAAAGATCAACGTTCACAGTTTTGAGTTCTTGACACAGACGGACTGGAAGAGGCAAATTTACATCTGTTGGAACAGCAGAAGGACCAACTGGAAGTAGAAGCTGTCTGGAAACAAAAAATCACTCGTGATGTGCCATGGGGAAGCTGCTCTGCAGCAGGAGGGCAAGCTGCTGAAGGAGGGCTGGCTAGCAGGGGCCTCAGGCAACTTGCTGCCTGGCCCAGAAGTCATCTGGAAACCAAAAACAAAAAAACCACACCAAAAAGCTGAGTGGCAACCAAATGGGCGGTTGGGCTACTGGGAGGAAGGTTTGGCCCAGAGGAAGCTCTTCCCCAAGGTGTTTCTGCACAGCAAGACGTTTGAGGGGATTCTCCAAGGTGGCCCCAACACGTTCTACCAAGCACAGAGAGAGAGGGAAGAGCTGAGGGCTGAGGCAGGAGATGGAAACCAAGAGCTCTGACCATCCATCAGGACACCAGCCACCTCCTCCTCCCAACCTATGGGGGGAAAGGTGCTAAAAACTCCAATCCAATGCTATCAACAGTGGTTTATGACCCAAAAAAAAAAGACTCAAACACACTTCAGTAGAAAAAAAAGAGTTCAGATGAAGCAAGCCAGCTCAACGCCACCACGAAGGAGTCGAGCATTTCATCTCCCAAGGTCTCTGATGCTTTCTGCCTGTCCTGTACAGCTTTTAAAAAAATAGGGGGTCACCTTTTGTTTCCTACCTACCTCGTTAAGAAACTACAAACATCTCATCAGCTGGCCAAAGTGGAAAAACCTGAAATAAAACTGAAACCCTTTTTCTACTCTCCTAACAAAGGCTGCAGATTAAAAAAAACACCCACGGAAGGCTCTGGATCAGCCCCAGGATCTCCTTCTCCACAAGAGCTTCAGGAGCTCTCCTCTCCTGTCACCTCAAGTGGTGATGTTCCTGCTCACAGG